TGAGGCAGCACTTCCTAAAGCCACGTGTGCAGTGGGCCCTTTAGAGACCTCTCTGAGTCAACTCTGGGCATCTCTGGTTCAGGCTTCCTACTTCTTATTAACAAACCCCTCTTCTTTCTCATGGCTCCCCTCAAAATCTTTTTTTTTTCTTTTTTTCCTTTTTTTTTTTTTTTTTTTTTTTTTTTTTTACCAGAATCACCTGGACTGCAGCGAAGGTACTAAATAGATGAGGTGATCAGAAAGGCTAACTTAATCAGCAGACCTTCTTGTAAAACAGCTCTCTACTGCTTGATCACAAACATCAGTGGGTACAGAGGATAGGAGAGAAAATCTGATTTCTTGTTGGCTGCCTCCACTTTTTGTCTTGTGAGCTTAAAAATACCTTGGGCCGTAAGGTGCTGTGGCGAGATAAAAAATTATGTGTTTCTTTGTACCAGCAGTATTTTTAGCAGCTATTAGAGAACAGTGTCCCACTCTGCAGTTTGGTTCTGATTGTTTTTAAGGTGATGTTGGTCATGCTGATACTACATTGTAGCTCGTGAGCTGACTGAGTGGACAACCTCCAGATGTTTTTTCTGGTGCTGTTCTGGTAGCTGATGTTTTTAGCGGGGAAGCAGCATCTCTGGGCAAGCTTAGCTTGCCTTTTGCTTGTTTCCACCTTTCCTGGTGATGGATGAGTTTATGGCTGTTGCTCTGGCAAGGGTGTCGGTCCCAGGATGTGCCGCAGTGGAGGTTCAGCGGGAATTTGTTCCCTTGTGTGTGTGGCTGTGCCAGCCAAGTCTCAGCTGTGTTAGTGCATTGTAAGACCTAAGCCTGCGAAAGCTGGGTGTAAAGTGCTGACAGTGTGATGATGAGCGGGGAAGGCATGATCCCAAACCTGCTGAAAACTGTTAAGAACCCGCAGCACTTCCAACCAGGTCCTCAACTCTGGTGTTACGAGGCTCAAGTTTCACAGCTCCTTCACGTGTAAGGAGACTGAGGGAGGCTTTTTACAGAGTGGTGACTGCTTGACTTGTCCTGTAAGGCATGAGAACACGTTGGTGCTAATCTTGTTTCCAAAAAATTGGCTGTGGCACTTGTCTATGCATGAGCAGTAGCTGGTCATGGCGTGATGCTGCATTCCTTGCAAAGTTAAACCTCCTCTCGCTTGACAAAGATTCTCATCCTTTGTGAAAACACGCTGTGAGGCCAACGTGGAGTTGTAAACCTCTTAAGACCTGCTCTCGTAAGCATTTCTATACATGAGTAGTGTTAGTCACAGAATCATCAGTTCCACGCTGATTTTGAAGAGGAAATGGCAATACCTTTCTGCAGAATAGGTTTCGTAATGTATCTTTACATCCTTAACCTTTAGGCTCGCTCTCTGCACTGGAGACATGAGAGAGTGCTGCACTAAAGACTTTCTTTAGGATTTAAGGTAAAAGAAATAAAAGAAACTTTCATAGATGAGTAGTAGAAAATTCTCCTAGAGGTGAGCTGGGTTCCTGAATCCTTTTTAGGTAGGGCTGATGATCAGATAGCCCTTCTCTAAGGTTTGGGCTTTCTGACATCTTTTAAAAGTCTGGTAATGACTGCTAAATAATGCTAAATTCTAATGATGTGCTGTCACCACAGCACTCCAGTGCTTACTAGTGTTATAGTAATCTAGTTATTTAGTAGTTACTAGTGTTATAGTAATTAGTTATTTAGTACTTACTAGTGTTATAGTAATTTACAAGTATATATATATAGTGTAGTATATATACAGTAATCTACAAGGAGAAATGTAGGGTTTTTTTCCTCTTGAGGAAAAATAGCAAAATATTTTGAAGGCAAAACTGCCTTTGTTACCTTATAGTCCCTAAATATTTTGCTTTAGGCACTTATATAATCTAGGCAGAGATTGTGATAGATAATGTCACCCTTTGTGCATTTCAGATAAGCATCTCTCTAAACACAAATGTGATCAGGATCTCTCCCTGTCCTTTTGAGAGTCAGTAGCAGCTTTGCCGAGTGGCTTGATAATTTTTGCGCAGAATTCGGTTGGACTTCTGTGGTGCTGACCATTAAAAATGCTGCGGGAGGATCGTCGGTCGAGGTAAGCTCTGCCGAGAGCATTGCCCGTCCCCAGCGAGCAGGGGCTGCTCTGCTGCCCCACCTGGGCTCGCTACAGCCTGGCACCAGCCCCTTCCTGCTCGTGTGGGGTTTGGGTGGCCACAGACCATCAGCTGCTCCCCCCTGCCAGGCAGCTGAGAGCTCCCATCCACACCGTGAGGCTTGGAGGGATGAACAGCTTTGGAGAGGGAGCTCATCTGGATGCGTTTATAGTAGACCCACTTTGCTACACTATTAGAAGAGGATAATTATTGAACTATTTTATTGTATAGCTATTCCTAAATTTTAGGTTTTTGGGGGGGTTTTTTGGTTGGGTTTTTTTATTGATTTCGGGAGGCAGCTAATTGCCATATGGCAGCTTGATGTTAATGTTTTTATGAAGATCAGGAAACAAAAGTTTATGAAAAGCTTTTGTATAGTAACTGCAGAGTTTCAAGAACTGTTTTATACTTCCTGACAGTGCAGGTCTGGCTTAATGGTTTGTTTTTATTGCTTAAGAGTGTAAACCTTTCTTTAGCCGATGTGTGGAAATTATATCCTCATCCCGCATTACGCATTTCTCATTGCTCATTACTCATTCCTGCTTTCATTGCTGCCATCTGTAATCAGAGCTTTACTGTTTCAACTGCATGCAAAATGCTCCTCTCCTTTGCACAGTAAGATACTTTTCCTCAGCACTCACCCACCCTTCCAAAGAAAAAAAGAAGAAAAAGGAGGGGAAAGGGGGGGGGAAAGGGGGAGAAAAAGCCTACTCTGCCTATATTGTTTTTCTCTGTTTTGGGTGGAGTCTGTGTTAGATTTTGGTTGCTAGATGGTTTCTGTAGTAACAAGCAAGAGAAAAATCCAAGACTGAAAAGGCACTTTTAAAGGTGCCATATCTTGCCTGAAGTATTATTTATCTAATTATGGATATGGAATGTTTAGCTTCTCCTTTACATGAAGGCAACCCCTTCTGGAAGGGCTGACTGCTGCTGTGAGATCTTGATATGTAGCGTGATCTTACAACAGGAGAACCACAGATCTTGTTCCCAGTTGACTTAAGCTGCTCAAAATAACAATGAAAAGCCAAAGGCATTAAAATGTATTTTTAAAGATTGTTACAGGCACAAACCACTTTGGTTTTTAGTTACATAGGAAGGAAACAAGAAGCTAAGTTCAGAAGGACGCTTGGATTGTAGGTGTTGCTGCTGTAAGGAGTGTGTTGGATACAAGCAGCACTGTTTTATTTTGTTAGACTACTGTATACAAGGAAAAAGTCCCAGCTCCTTCAGAACATAACCTTACTCTGCTGTACTCCACATTTTTTTTGTTTATTTCTCCTAAGAGATTTTGCGGGTGTGTGCCAAAGTAACTTTGTGTGTGTCTACTACTTTTGCCTTGCTTGAGCACAAAAAGAACTCAAAAAGTACTCTAAGATTACTTCTTTCCTGTCTCTCCAGTACTAATCCTTCCTTACCTGTATTCCTGACAGCCTTGCCTGCAACAAGCAGTAATGGTTTCCTAAGGTGGAGTTTCCTCTCTTTTTGGAATCTAGTCACCTGTCAGTGCCCTCCAGGATTTAGCAACGTTCTGTCTGCGAGCCTTGAGCAGTGGTCACTTAGAGAAGCAGGTACACTGGTTTTGTCCTGGGTCTGTGTCCTTTGCAGAGGCAGTTTGTCCCAGCCTTCAGCGAGGTCTTTGTTTGGGAAGGGTCTGGAGGCTGAACCCCTGGGTGCAGCAGGAGACACCCCGTGACAGCAGGGACTGTGTCTGTAACTTGCCAGAAGTCTGA